GCAGGGCATGCGTGCAGCATCCTTTCTGTAGCAACTCCGCCTCTCCACCACAAGCTGCACCAGAGGCTCCTCTTTTCTGCCCTTCGATGGCAACAATTGGCATCCTCCAGCTGTCCAATTTCTGCCATTACTGGGTGTTCACTTAGATCTCATTATTGAATGCTTTGGGCTTTTCCAAATGGCTACTACACTTAATCCTGAGCCCTTCTAGTTTCCTCCCTCTAAAGTTACCTTTGACATTCTTTGCCCAGGACTCCACAGAGATTGCCATCTCTGAGGGATTCACAAGCATTCCGTGTGTACTCTAGATATTTGTCCATTCGCTCACATTTTTAAAAACCTGCTCTGTTGGAGAAATCGTATACACAATTCACAAAAGAGTGTACACCATGGATTGTGATCTATGACAGAGACTTGCAACCCATCAGCAATTTAGAACTTTGCTGCTCTCAGCTCAAAAAGAAGAACCCACAATTATCATATCTTACTCCATCTTTCTATCCCATCTCCAGCCCTCAGCAGCCAACACACTTCTAATCTATTCTGCAGATCACACCCCTTCTGGAGATGATGGCTTCCCTGGATACTTCCTGCAAATAGAATCATCTAATCTGTGACCTTTTGTAAATGGTTCTTTCACTTAACACAGTGGGGTTTCTTCTTCTTTTTTATTGATTTTATTGAGCTCTACATTTTTTTTCTGCTCCCCTCCCTGCTTCTCCCCTCCCCTTCAACCCTCTACCATGGTCCCCATGCTTCCAATTTACTCAGGAGATCTTGCCTTTTTCTATTTCCCATGTAGATTAGATCCATGTATGTCTCTCTTAGAGTCCTCTCTGTTATCTAGGTTCTCTGGGATTGTGATTTGTAGGCTGGTTTTCTTTGCTTTATGTTTAAGAACCACTTATGATAATTGTCTTTCTGGGTCTGGATTACCTCACTCAATATGATGTTTTTTTTTTAGGTCCATCCATTTGCCTGCAAATTTCAAGATGTCATTATTTTTCTCTGCTACATAGTACTCCATTGTAACATAGTGTTTTAATGTCTAAAAATGCTGTATCTCTTCTTCTCTGTGGATGAATAATTATTTATCAGTTGTAAACCATCTGAATTTCTTCTGCCTTTTGGCAATTGTGACTAACACTGCTGTAAGCATGTTTGTGCATACATCTGCGTGAACATATGTTTTTGGGTTTTTTTTGTTTTTTTGTTTTTGTCTTGAGTACTTATCAAGCAGTGGAATTTCTAGGTCAAACGGAAAGTTCATGTTCTTCATGTCTTCCAAAATGGCTGTCTCATTTTACAACACCACCAACTATGCATAAGGGCTCAGATTTCACCCCATTCTGCCAACACTTATTAATATATCACGTTTTTCTGTTCTATGTATTTCATTGCTATTGTTGATATTTTTATCTGGTTTGGCAAACAGTAATTGTAGATATTATGATATAAAAGGTGACATTTAAATACGTGAATGCAATATGTAATTATCAGGAAATTGATCATGTCTGTCATCTCAGATTGTCATTTGTCATTTGCGTTGAGAAATTCCATCACTGGAACTGAAGGCCATTATGCTAACTGAAATAAGGCAGGCACATAAATACAAATTCTTTGTGTTCTCACTTATGTATGAAACTCCAGAAGTTCGTCACTGATCTCGTAGAAGTAGAGAAGAGAGTCGGGTGTGGTGGCATTTCTCTTTAAGCTTAGTCCTTGGGATGCAGAAGTAGGCAGATTTCTATTAGTCTGAGGCCAACCTGGTCTATATAGGAAGTCCCAGGCCAGCCAGGGCTACATAGTGAGAAAGACCCTGTCTTTACAACAACATTAGAGAATAGAATAATGGTCAACAGAGCCTAGGGAGAGGTGGGGTGTACAGTGGGTGGGTGGGGGACTAGTTTAAAGATGCAGTTGAATAAGTGGAATGACCTTCAGTATTATAAAGTGTAGTGGGTATTCACTCCACCCGTGACCTTGGCTATCTGACCCGAGAGAGACAGTGCTTCTGATCTGCCGGTGTGGTCCCTTTAAAGGAAAGATGGAGGGAGTCATGCTCTCTTGTGCCTGGTGGTTGGAGATTAGATTCTGATGCCATTCACTCCCAGGCAGAACGAAGGACCAGAAGCCGTCTTCCTGGTTGTGTAATGTATCCTAATAAATCTTTGTTACCCCCTTTAAACTGGGTCTCGTGGATTTGCCTATATTATAGAACAGTGAGAAGTCAGTAGTTGGCAACAATGAGCTATTTCCAAGCAGCAGACAGGAGTTTGAAGTTGTCATGGCATTGATGGGTGATTGAAATTGATGAGGTGTTTTCTTCAGATCGATGTCTACTCAAACACTTGCCACTTTTTAAATTAAGAATTTATTTTTGTTTTTAATTATGTTTGTGTGTGTGTTAGGGACAGTAGGTGCACATGAACATACATGCCTGAGGAAGCCGGAGGTGCCTGGATCCAGAATTACAGGCAACACAGAAGCTAGAAATCAAACTCAGATCCTCTCCAAGAGCAGCACTTGCTCTCAACCACCGAGCTGTCTCTCCAACCCCATTTGCCCTTTTCTTTTGTTTTTTGTCTCTCTCAACTATTTTTTTTCTTTTTTTTTAAGTTTATTAAATTATGAAAGTTTCCATTTCCGCCCCTCCTCCCAACACCTTCCCACTCCCCACTCCCCCTCCTCCTCCCTCTCCATCCCTAAGAGCAGTCAGGGCTTCCAGCCCCGTGGGAAGTCCAAGTTCCTCCCCCCTCCCTCCAGGTCCAGGAAGGTGAGTATCCAAACAGACTGGATCCCAAAAATCCAGTATATGCAGAGGAAACAAGTCCCAGTGTCATTGCCAATGGCTTTTCAGAAAGGCTCCGGGCCAGCCACGTTCAGAGAATCCGGCCACATTCAGAAAATCTGGTGGGATCACATGCTCGTTCAGTCCCAGTCCAACTGACCTTGGCGAACTCCCATCACCCATTTGCCCTTTTCATATTGAATTGTTTGTCCTTCTTTTATTGAGTACCAAGTCCTTTGTAGATGGCATCCTCTTAGGATTGATGGACATCGCTCCTGTCACTCCCTTGGCGCCTTTGAAGTGCGTAAGTGCGTGTTGCTGCTGTCCTTCTTATCGGCTGTTTATCAAACCAGAGGATAAGAAGATTTGGGCTCTGTTTCCATCTGAGAGTTCCATGCTTCTCACTTCATATTTAGGTTTTTGATCCATTTCAAGTGAGCTGTGCGGTAGGGGTCCAGCCCCATCCTTAAGTAGGTTACTCCTCCCTCCTCTTGTAACCTGTGCAAGCATCTTCTCATGCTGCTAACTGCTTTCCTCTATAAAGCACATGGACTAGCCTTTCCCCTGTCGGGTTGTTCCGGGACTGTCTTCTGCTGTTTTCCTCTATAAAGCACATG